AATAACTGTTAGCTAATTATGTTAATTTTGTTAACCTGTTAGCAACACCCCAGCCCATCTAAGTATTGCCCTCGTGCGAGGAAGCGTGACAATGCGCAAACCCCAGTTCTGCAAGCTCACGTAGGCGTACGTCGTCCGCGCGGACTTCGTGGGGGGCATTGGCCTCAGCGATAGTCAGAAAACGACTAAGGACGGCGTGACATGTCTCTGATTGGTCGGGGTTGAAATCTCGCCAACCATCCCATTCTGAGACCCATGTCTGTTGCATTGCTTTGGCCACGTTTGCTGAGGTATTGACGCAAGATAATAACATAGCATGAAGCAGTTCTTGCGCGTCCGCCGACAGCTTGGTCCAGTTGGATGTATTATGACTGCCACGGCCTCCGCCCAGAAAGCGAGGTCTGATAGACCACGTCCCTACGATCGCGGCTTCATGCCGGCGCCACCGAACCGACGCTGTCGATGTTTGAGTAGACGCGCAGCCACCAACATGTTGAGTGTTGTGTTTAGATATAGCATCTGACACAGCGAGGGAGGCGCGCCACGCGGAGTCCACGTTCCGTTTCATGGCCTCTGACCGCGGACTGCGGTTCGACATCGAATCCCTCAATTTGGCTGCTCTGTTTCGCGCATATTTGTGACGACGCTTGCCGATCCAACGGCATTGACGGAGATTCGGCGGACGCAAGCGACCCACTCGCGCGCCTGATGTGTGACGGTGGTGTGTCTGTGATTTTCCGCCTGTGCCTTGAGAGACCTCACGCGGTTGCGACACGGGGGTAGCATAGTTGTTGCATGCCGCGTTGCACTCACAACCAGCAACGGGTGGAAAGCGCCCAGCGCCAACGCGACACAGCATTGCGGCAAAATGCATCGATTGTCCCACAAACGCACCGATCTCGGTTTGCACTACCGCAAACACGTCCGCCGCGCCTTTGCAGCTGCACAGCGAGAGGTATGGAACGCACCACTCTTGCCATCGAGTCAACACCGACGAATTTACAGCCAATTTGCGACCCACGCACGCTCGCGCATAGGACGCGCGGCGGCAAAACGAGCAAGGTAAGTCGGCCGCGACCCTGAGGTGCTGACTCTGACGACGCGTTGAGGATACCTCAGTTTCCTGGAACAGACAAGTCTTGTCGATGCAAATACCCAATTTCTGGGCGCCGGCTATACCGGTTAAGCGCATTTCGGCACCACGCGTGCACAATGCCAACGCGGATGGCCTCGCGTCTGCACCCACGCGGAAGGTCTCATGCATTTTTAGCCCGCATGGAAGGCATTCATGCGTTTTCTGCCCGCGCGCAAGGCCGCGATGTGGAGGGTTGCTCCACACCACCGCATGCGTTTTTTGCCCGCATGGAAGGACTGCATGCGAGTGTTGCCCGCATGCAAGGCGAGATTGCGGGGTGTTGCCCCACATCAGCATCGAGATGCAGTTGGCTGCACTGGGATGTATACTTGAGCCGAAGTCTTGAGACTGCGAGATGCAGTTGGCTGCACTGAGGATGCATCATGATTTTTCCTCGCGTTGTACGTATCGCGTTTGCGAAATCTAAATAGCTATCGTTTAAATTGAGATACAGTTTGCATAAACTGAGCCTGGCTAAGTCAAGGTCTGCACTGAGTTATCCCACGTGCGGTATGCTCTGCGCTACGATTTTTCTGGACTCCACTTGTCTGCGCTGCAAGCGAATCCGCTCTCAGAAAATCCTTGCTCACGCAGCCTGGAGACGATAAGCCTGGCGCGACCGATAGAAACGAAATACACTGTTTTGGACATTTTGGTTTCCGCAGACAGAGTGAGTCAACTCGACACAGGCATCGACCTTTGTCTAAACAGAAAGCTGCAAACAACTTCTGGATTCGGTGTGGACAACGGCAACCTCGTTTTGCTTCGTTTTTTAAACCTGGTTGTGAGAAAGGAAAAAAGAAAGGTTCGAACCTATTTGCGAGGAAAAAACACATAACTCGCCTGGAAGCTACTGGTTGTATTCGACCGTTTCGGCTCGGGCTGGAGGTTCGTGAAGGCCTGGAGTACCGAAGACGCAATGCTCTCCGAGATCTAGTCGTTTCCAAATTCGAACGGATGTAGGCTATAGCTGCACGAAATGACACGTAGATTTGCGCCCCGTTTTGTGTCTCTTTTTGCTCACGATATATTTTCAAAACGGTTTATGCGTAGCCAGCCGCAGTTGGACAGCAACTGGTTGAACCTCATACAGGTATCAACGTTTGTCAAAACAAAACTTTGTAAGCAACTGTTGGATCTGGTTTGGTAGACGGGAACGAGAGACTACGGAAACATATGTCAACCAAAAGAAAAACACACGTATGTTGAAGCATGCTCGAGACCTCGGGTGGAAGATGCCACCGGGTGGAGGCATGCGGAATGGATATGGCTGGATTTGACGGCAAAAGAAAACACGGTAGTCGTGTCAGGTATGCTGGGTCCTGTTGCAGGAAAACTACTGCTTCCCTTTCTGTTATGCCCGACTATCTCGCATTCGCATGATGGTTCACCACTTTAAACTTTGGGCCAAAAAAATTGAGGAATGTCATATCAGAAAAAAAACACGACAGCAATGTTGCAGATCCGATTAGATAGAGTGGTGCCTTAGTTCCAATTCATCGACTATGCAATTTTGCGAAGAAATCACTGAGACAGTGTCTATCCAGCTTATAAGCTTGCAAAGGACGCAGCAGGAAAATACGATGCCCTTTTACGGCGACGAAGATGTGTCCGCCCGTGCTGAGGAACACCCCGGTCCCTGTCTTTAGACCATCTGTACACCATACCGTTTTCCGGTAGCAGTTCGTAGTGGAACATCTTTTCCGTAAATCACGCTGCCAGCAGAAGCAAAGACAGAGACGTAACAACGCAGCAACATACAGGGGGTTTCACATGTTTGCTTCCGCTCCTGACCTCCGATCAAACGCGGTAGCCAACCGAAAATGCAGGAGGCTTCGCATGCTAGCGTCCTCTTCCAACATTCTCTTCCGACCTCGGGCCAGATGCGGTGGCTCAAGGAGATGTTTGCGTTCTCTCAGGACATCATGGCAAACAGCGTGGTCAGGAAGCTTCGCAGGTTAGCGTCCTCTGGCGACATTCTCTCCCGACATCAGGGTCGACGCGGTGGTTCAATGAGAGTGCAGGAGGCTTCGCATGTTTGCGTCCTCTTCCGACATCCGGCAGAACGTGACGATTAAATGAGAATGCTGCAGCATACAGGAGACTTCACATGTTTGCGTCCTCTCCCAACACTATAAAATTAATTCGGTTGCAGGTTTCAAAAACTGCTCTCAGACAGTGAGACCTCACCATTGCCACTGCCGCCGCGGCCGACGGACATTCTTTAGATGTCCAGACTTGACCTGAGCAGCCAGATGTCAATGCCAGATGTCAATGCCAGATGTCATGTGCATCTCCCTATGGCCACTCACAGTTACCTCTTCAAACAGTCTTGCACGGCTAACCCGACCAATTCCGGCTCACACTGCACTTTCACCTTCAAAATGACCCATGACTCCAGCTCTTTTTAACTTCAACATAAACAACAATTAAACTCGCAAGCGCAGACCGGGCGCCCGGACCTGTCGCGATATTACGACACTCTATCCTCACGGTTTCGCATACTCACGTCACCGTAACTCATCGGTTTTGGCCTCCATGCTACACGATCATCGAACCTACCACGCCTTACTGCTTCGGAATTTCTGTTTTGCCTCCTCCATACACAAAACTGCCCATCTTCATATCCCAACCATCGCCTCAAAAACTCTATCCAACAAACACGCATATATCTGACCCTTTTCTTCTCCTTTCTTCAGGCGTCCCTCCCGGTCCAGCCTCTGTGCTCTTGTGCAGCTCATGCCGCCAACGACGTCAGCAGCCCCAGCTCTAAATACTCCAACGCCGTGCACTCGCACTCACATCTTTTTCCCTTGCGTTCCTATTCGTTTGCTCCGGTACCTCTGCTACGCATCTCCCCGGGGTCGGCGGCAGGGGCGGCAGCCCTTAAATATCTCCAATCGATTGACAAGGGCATGGAGTCTCAGAAGCTGTTTAACAAGAATAGACACGATAGAGGCCTTCTCAAAAAGAATATAACACAAGTTCAAACAGTTCTTCTGGAAAGGATCCTTTTTGGGGATCACACACGCAAGTGTACTATAGTGTACTATAGTCGACTATAGTGTAGTATCGAAGCGTTCGCTCCTCGTCTCTCGTTTCGACGCAGATCCCAGAGAACGGACGGGACGACCGTGGGCGCCTGAGTGTTGGATCACCACAGAGGCCGAGTAGGACCCAGCCTTGCAGCAGGCCTCACGGGAGTTTCTCAGCTCACCGACGCTCACAGTTCATAAAATTTAAGAATCAAAAGAAACATTCTTCTTTTGAGTTAATGGCAATGGCCTCCAACCTAACAGCTCTGAAAGAAAGAAAAGCTAAAGCACACAGACGTTGAACCACCATCCTGCCACCGACGGAAGTTTCTTGCTTCTGACTCCTGAAGCACCATCTTCAACATCACTGTGCTAAGGATGGAAGGTGCTAAACAAAGATAGATAGTGAAACCCATTGTCAACGTCCCAGTAGCCCAGACTAGGTGACAAATCAGGACTCTATGACGCCAATTGCAAGAACCCTATCCTTGGTGTGTTCCTTCTACTCGTACACCAAGCTTCAAAGTGTGCGGCTCAAGGGTGAGGCCCTCGTGCATCACTTCTTTGGGGTGCGAAAGGATCTCTAATGGTAGTCAGCTACTAGTAACAAGGGCATCGTTATTAGGTTGGAGGCCATCGCTTCTAGTGACAAGGACGCTACTAGACCCTAAACCCGGTGCCAAGTAGAAGCAACCGGCGAAAGGCAACCGCTCCGGGCATTGCCCCCTGGTTCTGCCCTCTCTCTTGTGATTGGTCATGCCCTAAGGCTTCAAAAACCAAGCAAAACCTCCAAGGCATCACCTTCGCGCCCTCGGGAGGTCTTCTCTCTACTACCGCCAAGCGGACCAGCACCGCAGGGGGAAGCTCTCACGAACGCGCGCGGCGCGCGAAGCCCTGACCGCTCTATCCGGCCGGACCTCCATGTCCTTTCCCTTGGCCAAGGCTGCCAGGAAGCCCCCGACAAAGGCATCGCCGGCGCCATTGGTGTCCACCAGCTTCTCCTCGACGGGATCCCTTTGTGCCAAACAGGTTGGAAGCAAACCGTTTGTGCTGGAAACAGAAGGACGATGCGTAAGTCTGGGGTCTAATATGTTCTCTTCCGAAAATCGACCGTTTGGCAAAGCTAGAACGATCCACTGAGAAGCCACGACTTCAGTTCGCTCGCTGTCCTTGGGCAGCGCAATCACGGGGTACTTCTTGACCTGATCTTCGGCTGCACAACTTTGGGAAGGATGGCATTCAAATTCCCCCAATCATGCAGCGGTCGCAAGAGAAACAAATGGCAGAAAGGCTGACCAGGCTCTTCAATTGATTCTAACAGCTGACAAGGCTTCAAACCCCCCAGTTGAACACCGCCGTTGGCAGCGGACCTGACCCAGCCCACCTCACCCCGAATGGCCACCACAGTGGGATCTGCTCCCTGGGTAATGACGACCTTTCTGTATGGCTTGTTGCCTGGCGACAGGTCGTCCCCCATCGTCTCTCGTTGATGCCGATGTCTTGGAAGAAATGAGTCAACCAAAGATTGATGTTTTCTCGCAGTGCTTTCATTGAGAGTGTCCATGGAGCTCCACAACCAAGAGCAGAATTGAACCACCTTGGAAACTACCAGAGTGGAAACAAAATGCGCTTTATGAAGGCAAAGCCTCAAATAGTTAAGTGGTTAAACTAGTAGTTGAGCGTCCCTAAAAATCTAGGAACCAAATCATTAGTGCGAGCGCTTCTTCAAGGAAGCTTCCCCGCCGCCCTGGGGGAGTTTCCTTGAGCTATCCTGTGTCCAAGGTAGCTATTTAAACTACTAGCTACCTAGGTACTAGCGGCCTACCTCCCCTCCACGCGCAAGCTACTAAGCTACCAGCTACCTACCTCTCTAGCGGCCTTCCCCCCTAAAAAGAAAACAAACTCTATTTATCATCGCCTGCCATTGGCACCAAGGACAAGCGGGTGGCAATGAATTCGACGTCCTGGCGATCTGGCGCTTTTCAATCGACACCACATTTGATCGGACGGATTAAAAAAGCTGCCATTCATTCTTCATTAAAAAAATGTAAAACGAACAAAATAGATTCGATAGACTGCACCTCCACAACTTTCAACTCTCATTCCTCCCAAAACGTCCACCGGACGAGCCGTGCGGGGCGCGTGCGTCCCTCCGCGCCTGGGTGTCCCAGCCAACGGCCTCCGCGTAGGCCTGGGCCTCCGTCTCGTTGCCGAAGAGGTAGTCGCCTCAGATCGAATCGATCGCGTCGGTTCTCGGAGCTCTTCTTCTGGTGCTCAGAAAAGAAGGAGCCTCGGATCCTAAAGTTGGGGAGCCACACATGTTTGGATTTTTGGGAGCAGCCATACCACAAGTTTTGCTTTCTCTGTGCGTTGGCAAGGGACAACGTTATACCTACCAGGCTGGTCCCCTCGTGACCAGGTTTGTTCGACCAGCTGGGTGGGCCTGGTTCTGCCGAGATCTGACTTATAGAGTTCTCAGGTCTGGATGGACTTGGTAGCTTCTTGTTCCTAGTAGCGTTCTTGCTCCTAGTAGTACGGCCAGGAGCCCCTTCCTTCGTAGCGCCCGATCGCTCCGTTCGTGTCGCGATGCCAGGAGCCCCGTTCGTAGCTTCTTGACTGAGAAAGTTCAGCCGATGTGTCAAGGCACAGCAAGGCAAGGTCTTCTCCAGCACGGCTCGGAAGGGAGGCACTTGGACGATGAAGGGCGCCGACAAATTCAGGCAATAAGTGCCACCGGTCTTCAACATCTCGTTGGAGGCCATCCTGTGCCGGCCGAGAACTGGAACCCTCTGAGACCATCAGCCTGAGTCGGCCTCTGAGTATCTCAAAATGTTCAGTGGATCAATCGCTAAGCCCTAGCACTCTACACCAAGTAAAGGAAAATCAGCTCGTGCCATGCGACATGTCTGGCATGTAGCATGAGCACATAGTATACGTAGGACGTAGGCAAATTCTTTACACCGTGGCGAACTTCTGTGCCGTATGATGTGTTCTAGGACAGTAAGCATGGCTGAAGATCCTGAATCAAGAACACCCATCCATCAAAAGCTATCATCACTGGAAAAAAAGAATTGAAAGTTGTGCCTACAGGAAGTCACTTCCATCACCACCAAACAACTGCTCCCAACCACTGTTGCGACTCCCAAGGGGCTCGATGGACTCCGGGGAGACGGTGATGAAGAAGCCTGCGCTGTAGACGATCTTCGCCGCGCTCAACGTGGCCATGTTGGCCTTCAGGTGATCCACCTGGAGAGGACGCCCCTCGTCGGGTCGAGAAGCCACGCCGAACGCGGTCGGGAAGCCGCTCCGGTCGCCGGCGAAGACGGAGAACGAAGGGAGCAAATATGTCAGTCTTAAAAGAAAGGCATGGCTGAAGGATTGCTAGGAATATTCCTGGTTTGGGGGAAGAGGGCCTTTTGTTTCAACATGAAGTTTCTCCTTTGGAGAGCAAATTGCAGTGCCTTCAGGATACCTGCGATCCGAATGAATCTGAGCATCAAATTAGGAGATAGCTGTATACTCCTTCCATCGTCTTAGCCGCTGCGCCTTGTAGTTGTTGGCCGCATGCAAGTTGGTCGTGAGCGATCGCTCCTAGCAAATGCGGTGACGACCGCGACGGCCACCGAGCAGAGCGTTCGAACGCTACTACGTTCGTAGACATTGCTCCTAGGAGTAAGGCCAGGAGCCCCTAGTAGACTGTGTGAGTAACCTGAATGGGTTGAGAAGCCAATGTAAAGCCGACCAAAGGTGTAACTCACCAAAGACGCGATGCAGCTGGACGCTAAAGCAAACTACTCCTATTATATAAATGGGTGCACCAAACTAAAGCTTGGCAGGCTTGGCATCATCCCCAATCCCCACAACCACAAAACTTGATGGACCTGATTTGCCATGTTTCACCAGAGTCACCAGAGGTTTCAGAGCCCCCATGCTGGCCGTGTTGGCCAGCCCAAAAGGCGCCTTGTTCATGATGGTGACAGCGCAGGCACCAGTCGGGGTAGTCTTGTCAATCATGTATTTGCAATCCACGCCGTCCTGCCATGGAATGCGCCGTCCAGCGATCGACCCACTCCACACGCCGCTTTCGAGTCTTGCATGTGTCGTCGCAATCAAAAAAAACCGCTCCCCCACGAAAAACGGGCGACTCAGTCGCTGATCCTGAAGAGTTCATCCCAAAATATCCCGAAGCTCAACTTGGCCGCTTTTGATGCTGCATCTAAATCAAGGCTTGCAAGCCTTTTTTCGGAAACCAGATGGCTTGCCCCGAAAGCATCCGCGGACGCCGTCCCGGCAGCATCCGCGGACACCGTATGCCCACCCCGAGCACCATGCCTTCTTGCATGCATCGGTGAGCTTCTTGCCAAACTCGTCTTCCCCGATGCAGCCCATGTAGGCTGTCTTTCCGGGTTCCTGGCGTGACAAGGAGAGTGAAGAAGATCTGGAGAAGATCTGGCACAGGCACTTTCACATGCCCAAAGTTGTGGCAAAACAAGACCATACCTCTAGCAATGAGCCAGAGTGTGTTCAAATCACAACTCCACGTACATACATTTGCCTGTGGAATGTTCTGCGGCAAATGCCGATCCCAGAATTGTGTGAAATGAGGAGAACAGTCCTCACATTAGCTCTACTGCCTTGTGCCCAACCAAAGTAGAGAAACTCATGACCTCTGATTGGCCCGGAACAAATGCTTGAAGGTGTGCTTGGCGTTGGCTTCTGTGCAACTATATGCCGCAGATTACCGCAGTTCTGGCAAACATGTTTGAGGACAAGGGTGTGAGATGATGATGACAATGTAAAGCACTGCAAGAGCAGCTCACATACACCCAAAAAAGACCTCGTGGTCATCTGGAATCGCTTAGGAGCCGTGCAGTTCTTTGTGCTCATACGGTTTCCAAGCAAGTGGAAGATGTGCCGTTTTCCTAGACCATGTGGAGAAGCCGTCCTCCAAAAATCAAAACAGCAGGCAAGCAAAGATCCATCTTCAAGTGGCTTGCTTGGATATCTCGTGAGGTTTCTCAAAGCCAAGTTCGCGCCACGCGCCAGAGAGGGTCTCCTGCAACATCCACTGCGCCACGCGGATGCTGTTCTGAGTGGCTCCACCAGCCACGTAGAGCACCTGGCGACATCTTTTTTCGGTATGCGAGCCACCACCTTCATCCACCAAGAAGCGTGTTGGTTTCGTACTCCCTACTGCAATACACATGTTCGTGACGGCCATGGTTCTCCACAGTGACTATATATATATATATACACACTCTCTCTCTCTCTCTCTTCAGAGTTGAGACAGTTGGGATCTGATTTGGGCTCCCAACTGGCGGACTTCATCGACCATCCCAAGCAGTTTGGAGAGGCAAAGCATCTGAAGGAAGCCGCTAGGCTATGTATGGTTTGTAGCGAAACTCGTGATGGCTTCAAGCATCTTGGTCGCCTTCCTTTAACGCTTCAAGCCAAAGGACATCTGGCTTGGCTGCAAGCTCCTTGAACAAAGGCTGGTGCTTGTCTTCCGCCAAAATCGCATTTCCTGGGACCAAGCCATATTTGTCAAAGGTCTCCTGGCAATGCCCCGCAAGGTCGCGGCGCAGGCCGGCGCAGGCCATGCGGCCTATTTGGACAGATGTGTATGTCCGATTGAAACATGTAGAAAGACAGACTGCTGGTATCAGTACATATATATATATATACTTGTAACATCATACAGCCTGAGGGTAAAGATTGATGAGAGTCTGATGAGAGTGGTGTCACAGTGCCAGTTGAGCAGGTGGGCAGAACCCAACTCCATTTTCGACATTGGACGACTGCTTCGCCATCCACGTTTTAAAAAGAAAAAGAGACGCGACCCAACACGCGAACCTCGTAGCAGCCCCCAGGCACCTGTGTTGCTTGGGGGGGAAACCTGGATCTGCCAAGCGATGTCACATGGATCTGTATTACCCAGAGGTGTTTGTCCAGGAAGCATGTCCAAAAGATGACAAGAGATGTCCAAAAGATGACAAGAGCCATACGAGATGAGAACTTTACAAGAGATGTACAACATTCTGCGTGGTCGAAGAAAAAAGAGATGACCTGCAGAGGTTTCTCTCTCCTGCGTCACCTCTGCCGAGATGTCGAGGAGGGGATTGCCCATACCAAGAATCACCGCCATGGCGTAGAGTTGTTCAGGTGCCCGATGAGATCTGATTCTGAATCTCTGAGAAAAATCTGCAGCCACGCACTGTCCACAGCAAGTCTGAAGGTTGAGAAAGACAAGGCGGAGAGACATGTTGACTTGGACCATCTGATTTGGGGAACATACTTTTTCCTCCAGAGCACCAATGTCGAAGTTCAGGAGCTTGTGGAATCTATAACATTGCTTGTTTTTGAAGACCATACGTATTCCGCAAGACTCGCATGCTCTGGAGATACTGGGGCATGTTTGGGTTCTTTGCTGCAGAGTGTCTGCTTCTCGTACCCCCACCCATGGGTGAAGGGTCGCCAACACAAGAGTTCGGGCCCATGTCTACATGGAAAAGATATATCCCCTGAATACGGAGACATAAAAGTAGATGTCATCATATTCAGGTGCTGGTTCATTGTATTCAGGGCATTGATGCAGCCAGCTCTTTTCCTCGCTGATATGTGATAGTGAAGGTAGGTGCGACAAGGATCCGCCACAATAAAGCTTAAATAAGTTGACCCCAGAAATGTTTCCCATATCGGATTTCTGCGACTAGTAGCGTTCGGACGCTCTGCTCGGTGGAGGCCATCGCAAGAGGGTTGGAGGCCATCGCTACGAACGTAACAAGAAGCTACTAGTTACTAGTTCGTAGCAAATGATGAGTCTCAAATCAACTGTGGCATCCAAACGTGGCCGTCTTCTCGCGTCGAAAAGGGACACCGATGCAGTCCCGCAGGGCGCAGCGTCGTGGGGCCCCGAGCTCAAGATCGCATCCCAGGCACACACGGAGATACGCCACAGGGACACCTGGAGTCATCGGATGCGACACCGCGTTGCCATCGGATTCAGACCGGAGTCATCTGATCCCGCTCGGCCAGCGGGGCTGAAGTTTTTGGGACAAAACGGCCCAAGGGCTCTCGATTTACCATGTATTGAGTCCAGGCTTCCTGTGCTCATTCGTTGCTGAACCAACGGAGGGTTCCCTCCTTTTTTGTTCAGCACCCCAGTGCATGCACCCGCAGTATTGATGCATGAAAACGCCTCCAATTGTGCAAAGGCAGTCCGGAAAAGAAATAAAATAAAAAGACCTCCAAAAACATGGGAAGCGCAAGTCCATTCTCAAGTCCCGTCCAAGACCCAATCGAAGCGCCGTTCCAAGAAACAAGAGCATACCTTTGCACCTGGTAACTGGCCTCGGATTTCAGCCACGCCAGGGGTATCACCGGGGCATCGGATGTCAGCTGCTGGGATCAAGCTGGGTCTCCCGGACATGTTGGTCCCCGAGGCTCCACTGAACCTGGCGCAGGGCCGCTTCGCGTCTGTTGATGCTTCGCCACTGGTTTTTTTCAACATGAAGATCACCTGATTGGGTCCTGCAAGGAGAGAAGACCACGACTGACACCACGGGTAAAGGGGTTCATAGACGACAAACCCCGAGAAAGCGTCCTGGGGTGGTTTGGATTTAAAAAAAAGGAAAACAAGAACACAAAACTTCGCAACACTTGGTGTTGGCGATCGCGCTGCTGGGTCTTATTGAATGACCTCCTCTGTGGAGCAAAATACAATTGACAGGAGACTGTTGCATCACAATTCTACTCAAGATTGCCAAAGCAAGTCACCCCGAGCAATTCACATCGTGTTCTCATTCATACCTCTTTACAAACAATGCGCTATTCTGCACTAGCAGATCTTCCCAGATTCCCTAAGTTCCAGCAGGCCATACATCATATCCCTCCAAGCAGAATTCTGTTCTTGCAGCAATTGGCCTAGACAGCTCTTCTCTAAAATAAGACATGTGCATTGTTCCTCACCAATCGTGACCGAGAATTGGCAGAAGTATCGGGTCTCAGTCAAATTGGTTTCAGTCTGGAGGGGACTGCCCGCGCTGCTCCCGCACCGCCCGTTCAAACAGAAACCAAAACAACACCGCCCGTCCGCGTTCGTTCGCACAAAGAGGAAGCACCACTTTTGGTCGCCAAAAACTCCCAGCTCCGCCCCAGCGAACACGTGTCCAACAGGACGCGAGTTTACGTCGGAAAAAGTGAGGCAGCCTTTTCTAGTCGAGGAAATGACTTCATTGATCTTCATTGGTATTTCTACATACATGTGTTGCCTGTGCTTCTATGTCCTAAGAACCTTTAAGGGATCATACAGAGGCACCCACCAAAAGAATGAAAAAGGGACATACTACACGGTCTCACCTTGGTATACGGTCCAGAAAGCTCGAGTTTTCTTTGACTTGTGGTGCCAACGCTGGGTCTCCTCTGTCTTCACGCGCCGGAGATCGGTGGGCGCCCTCACAGCCCTCACAGCGGCCCCCTGGACGATCACCGAGGCGACCGGCGAACAACGAACGTCGGTAGAGCTGTACAGAACGGTTTCAGAACTGGGGAATGGTTGTACAGTTGTTGTTGTATTCCCGGATAGGGCCGGACGTAGAAATGGAGCTGCCATTTACTATGGTTAAGAAAGTCAGAGCCCTTTCGGCCATCGTAGGATGCCCTGTTGCGACAATTTCAATCCACATTCGATCAGAACCTTACGTCCAAGGGCTCATAGGGCCTCCAACCTAATAGCAAAAGGAACCTAAGAGCGATGGCCTCCAACCTAGTAGCAATGGCCTCCAACCTAATGATAGGGCATTATTCCATATTATTCCTGTGATCTAAATGTAGCAAATAAACTCGAAGACACACCACAGAGGAATTTCACCGTGGTGTTATAGTCATTCAATGCAACCTGCAACCCCTACGCGCCTGAACCACGATCCAAAAGTAAATCCAAACCAATTCAATCTCGCTCCTCTGCTTGGATGTCTTTTAGACCCTTAACTAATTCCACCCTAAATTAGTTGTTTGGCAAGTCACTACTTGGTATATCGATGAAAGTAGTGGCAAGTCACGGCGCCTAGGTGTAGATTTCATGTCTAGTTTCTGGCAATCTAGCCTGCAGAACAGTCGGGAAATCTTCACGTAATACGGTATCCGTACCTTTCTCTGTAATTAATTCATATCAACAAACACAAAAGTATCTCTCTCTTGCATCTATCTCTTACCCCTTTTTTGCCTGCCCTAATTCATCCCGAAACATTTCACAACGAAAAACTCGGCAAAACGTTCACTGCACTACCTCCGACCTCTGCGACTGTCGACATCTGCTCGCCTTACAAGAGTTCTGGCTTGTTGAAGTAGATCCAGAACAGCACCGCAGGGCCCAGACCTGAACCACCCGGAGAAAGCGAGCCTTTTCCGGTTGAAGCAAGGCTCAACTCGGAACTCAACTCGATGGAACTCTTCAGCCTTTTGTTTCGGTGGCCGAGGCTGGACCGTTGGTTCCTGAAAGGAACGGAGGAATGGAAGCATCTTCGTCTTGTTTTTATCGTTCCGGCTTCTTGAGAGGTCTTCCAACACGCCATATATGACATATGAGAACTGCCCGACTTCTAAACAGCCCTAGAGATGTGGCAACACCACAAGCAGGTTGCTGGGTGGTCCAACTGATGATGAAGATGGCCCAGCCCAACTGAAGCAGGGCGTAGCCTTGGCAAGCAGAGCGTATCGGAGCATAGCCGCGGCTCAGCGCACCGTGAAAACGCTAAAGTGTCTGCGAAATCAAGTCGCATCAAATCTCCCAAGACCACCAGGATCAGCATGCCATTGTTGGAAACCTCTGTTGATTCTCGCCATAGGTTGAACCTTGTTATCATGCACCACATTCCCCCTCATGGATGTGGTCGAAAATCCGAGCTCCCAGCCTGAGTTGCCAGCATGAGCCACCTGCTACAGCCAGGTCACGACGGGGCAAACACGGGGTCGACGGTCACGGAAAGCTGACAACGCTTCCAAGCAGCGGCGATGCACAAACAAGCAGATACCCTGATACCCTTGCTCCCTCACAAAGCATCACAAAGCCAATCAAATAGACAAACTGCTAAAGACAAGAATACCAAAAAGCCCATAGCGCCAGAGTGTCTGGCATTCCTCATGGCATTCCTCGGCTAAACCATGGCCAACTGACGTCACATCCGGGAGCCTCGGGCGCCGCGGCGATGGCTGCACCCAGCAAGGCGGTCTCAGCGCGGGTGAGGCCTTGGGAACGGAGGCATTCGGTAAAACAAGAAAGGATTGTTGTAGCACTTGTTGTAAAAAGAAATCTTGCTTTTCTACGCAAAAAAAGAATACGGACTTGAAAAGGTCAGGGAAAAAAAGAAAACATAGTTAACGACGAACACCTTTTCGAGTTGTCAAAAGCAATGAGACCGTTTTAGAAATGATTCTCCTGGACTCCCAGTGTTTGCTTCGACCAGTTGGCACTTTTCCCGATGAATCTCGTCCACCTTCTCTACAAGTCTCAACCACAAAGTCTGACATTCGGGCGGAATCATCTCTCAACACGAGAAAAATTCAGAGGCCATCGCTACTAGGATGGAGGCCACCGCATTTGTTTCCTTTTGCTATTAGGCTGGAGGCCCCTCCCCTTTCCAGCAGCCCTAAATGAATTCATGAATTCATGCCAGCTGCCAGTGACCCGAGACTCTGGGGCTGCCCGTGGTGCGGGCTCCTTGGACATCAGGGCAGACGGGTCGGAAAACACAGCGAACAAGAAATAATCAAAAGACCTCTGGCACTTTGTGAGAACTGCCTTCTTATCTTATCGTATCTTTCAGCCTTTTTGCCCTTTGAATGTTCTGGGTTGTCTACATCCACACGTTCCCTGCTATAAGGAATCGCCTTTGGTAGGGTAAATGTTAATAAGCTGAGCCATGGCAACTGCGAGTGAATGTGCTTAGATTCTGCATTCAGACTTGTGGGCTTGAAGGAGCTCTCCCACTGCAGCCAAGTACCAAGTGATCCATGGTTAACTAAGTCTGGACATCTGTCAAAGACCACAAACACCCAACATCCGGTGGCGGTGATTCGAGCTATGCTATTCTTACAAAGCATCATGCCCACCGAACAAAATTCCCAGAGCGAACTCATCTTCCTCGT